CCCTGCACACGCTGGGCACCCATTCTTCCTCTGAGCTCCACTCCCAGCCAGTAATGCTCTCTGGCACGCAGTGGGCTGTGCATCATGAAAAGCTCTGTGAGGTTCACTACTGCTCTAGAATAACTGATATACTGAACATCTACACGGGGGACTTGAGAACCAAAGCCATCACAGAGAAGAGAGGACTTGGCGTCAGATGGCCTGACTGGTAACACAGAAGACTGTTCAAATATTGTTAAAATGGAAAATTCCTGAAAGCTGCAGCTGGGGACTGTGGTATTTATTGCTACACACCCAGCCCCTAGCCAGGGCCAAGCATGCAGCAGTTATTAAAGAAACGGAGCTACCACCTCTACATGGCTCAGTGTGCTTAAAGCATGCACTGCGCCTTCCAGGATAAAAGTGCAACATTTGGATCAGCCAGCCAGACTATTTGATTTTACATATAGCTTATGCTATGGTGAAGAATCCTCTGAAAGTTTGTCTGTCAGAAAGGTGATCCTCAAATTCCTGTGAGGATGGTAGTCTGAGGTAGCCTTTGAGAGGAACGTAGGGCTAGAAGAGGGCATGAGGGTGGCGTGCCCATGAAGGCATCAGTGACTTCCTAAGAAAAGGAGGAGACACAGGAGCTTGCGGCACCCGGCCCTGTTCTCTCTCCTTGCCACGTCTTCCCCCAGGCTAGGCACAACAATACGGTCCTCCCCAGCTGTGGACCCTCCACCTGGGACTTCCCAGCCTCTGCAATGGTGAGAAATTCATCTCTTTTCAATTGTAAGTTACTCAGGCTAAGGTATTCTGTGGCCACTCATGACAGACTGGGCTCAGAATCTTACTCAAGACGTGTGACAGCTTTTGTGGACCTAATAATAGTAAGGTTCACTGCTTTAGTTCTAGAGCCTGATGAAACACAGCTGCAGACGTTTCATTTGTCTCTACCACCAAGGCCAGAGCAGGCCCCAATACCTACTGTTGTGTGGCTGTGTGCTTGGATGGCCTTTAGATTCTCAAATGATTAAAAAACAGGAGATATTTTGTGACATGTGAAAAATATGGATTTCCTATTTATGCATTTAAAAATAAAGTTTTAGGTGAACACACTCATGTTCTGTTTCCACACTGTCTAGCACTGCCTTCGTGCTACAGGAACAGAGCAGGAGACGCGCACGTGCATGGACTACGAAGCCTCAAGCTAGAGGCCTTCATGGAGGTCCTCTGACCACAGCTTCAGAGGCCGAAAGAACCACCGACCGGAAGGAGTTAATACAGAAGCAAAATGTACTGATTTGGGTCACGTTTATTTCATCACCAATTCTCAAAACATTCGTGCTAATCAAGCTCCTGAACAGCTAACAAAAACATCTATTTTCTGTTGCTACTTATCAATAATACTTTTGAATAGCTTTTACTAGACCATTAAGTGTAAAAGTAAATACGGATTAAAGCACCAATTTTAGAATCAGATGACGGCAATGACTTTTAAGGAAAACACTGTTTCAGTTTTAAAGTTTTCACTTTACTGAAAGAATCTGAAACAAGAACAAGAGAATCCAAACAACCGAACGGGTTTTCTAGGAATCACAACCGTCAACTGCCATTTTTGTGTGTTGACTTTCTTACCAACATTTGTTTACGAGAGGAAGAAAAAAGGAGCAGGAGGAAAGGCTATCCCCACAGAATGAAATAAAAGCTGACCACAGAAATAGTTCCATTGTTTGTGTGGTTTTCGTTGAACAGGCTCTCAATGAGATGGCAATTTTCTCAGGACAGGGTCTTACCATGCTGCCCAGGTTGTCCTTGAACTCCTGGGCTCCCACACCTTGAAGCTTTGGCACTGTTTATTTTCCAGCTTATACAAATTTGCTTTTGCATAACAGCAGCACAAGACTGACCTTTATCTGTGATATGGGAGGTTTAAAATGCTACTCTTCATTCTTTGAACACTTCTCACATGTTTTGGGGTTGGGTGTGTGTTCTTAATCTTTATTTCACCTTTTTAACGCTTTGCTGTGTCTGGGCTATCAAGAGCAGATCAATGAGGGCCGGTAAGATAGCTCAACCAGCTAAAGCGCGTGCTTAGCTAAGTGCAGGGGCCGGGTTCGATCCCGGATACCACATGTTGTGCCAGCCCTGTCCCTGGGGTGTGCTGAGCCAGTGACTGAGTCCGGGTGTGGTGGCTCATGCCTGTAATCCTAGAGCTGGGGAGGCTGAAAACAGAAGGATCAATACGAGTCTGAGTTTCGTAGTGAAACCCTGTACCAAACACATAAAAAAAGAAAAAACAAACAAAAAAAGAACAGATTAATGAGTTAAAAAAAAAGATACCTGCTTGGATTCTTAACACAGCTTGCCTTCTGCTAGTAGAAACCTTAGTGCAGTGCCAAAGACTCTACCACACTGTGTTCTTCTGACTCTCGGCTACAATACTTCAAGATGGATGCTCCCAAGTACCTGGCCATGAGCTTTCTGTTTTTTAGCTCAATGGAAACCAAGGCATGTCTTGGACTTTGTGTGTCGCGTTTCTTGTATCTCCTCAATGTTCAGCAAAAGACCTCAGATGAAGCACAAGAGGGCGAGCCTCAGCTCCTAGCAGAATTTCAGTTGCATATACACAGTTACTTAATAAATGTTTGACTGATCTTCCTCATGGAAACTGGGTAAAATTTATAAATATTTTCCCAAGATCAACAGGCTTAAAGGACTTGCTCCAAATTGAGAGATGAGATGAAGTTCACCTTATACGACATGTAATTCCTAGTGCCTACCATCCGCCAAGATGAACACAGCCCTGGCAACTTCTAATTTTAAAAGAAGGAAGAACTGGATAAGAAACTTTCTAGAGGACCTGCTTGGCATTTCGATGGACTTTCACCTCAACCATACCAAAGACTGTAGGTCTAAAGCACTAATAGATCCCCCACCTGCCACTGCTCATGTAGACTGGTCATTAAGAAAGGGGAGACAAATGCTCCATGTTCCATAAAATCCCTCTGAGAGATGCCTTTCCATACAATGCAAGTGAAATAGCAATATACAGTGACCATTTTAATAACAGCACTGCCTCTCTTAATTGACCTGAACACTACCGCTGAGAGCGCTTTCCATCCAAACAGCCCTTTTTAATGGTAAGGACACGAGAGTCTAGGGAGGTCTGAACTGCCCAGTTTTCTTTGCATATTTTCCAGATTTCCCCATTCACAAAATGCCACAGAACAAAACAAAACTTAAACAACTGCCTTTACTACGTGACTTAATAACCAAGAAGCAAGATGGTCATTTGTACACAACTGAGAACAAAGGAAACAGTCTGACACCTATGCAAACCGCAGCAGGGGAATGAAACCCCACAAGAAACAGGAGGAACATGACAGAAAATGCAGCGTGCTAGTACCCAAACCAAAATCATATTTTTATGAAACTATATTCCCAAAATGAAAAGAACATGAGATTACATCTATCCCACCAATAGTCTATTCCATCAATGACTATTTATTGAACAATGAGAAAAATCAATGCTGGGCAAAATGCCTGTACACTGAAAGTCAATTTTACTAACAACGGGTATCTCTCCCCTCTACGCTTTTGAGGAATTTTCAGTTTTAAGTTCTGATTTCTGAAGGACTCCAATCTCATATAACCATGGGCAAATCAAGTTAATAGTAAGCTTTACTAACCTGAAAGAGGAGATGGTATAGATCATCCAAATCCACTGACTAGTTAAGTTGGAAGAGCTAACAACATATCACCTTTCCCGAAAGCAACAGAAAAGGAACACACAGCAAGATCCCCATGTTATGCGAATGAAAAGACTTTTCCAATGTTCTCTTGGGAAGTGGGTCAGGACTGGAGACCAGCATTTACTGCCCCTGGTACAGGGCTTCCCTATCCCTTAAGATTTTTACCCATATATGTGAACCACTGATACTACTAAACAAAAGATGATCTGTATTTAAATTTAGCTCCTTTTCAAAATGGGGATTTTTAAATGCTAGGTGTGGTGGCACACACCTGTAATCCCAGAACTTGAGAGGCTGAAGCAGGAGGACTGCCATAAATTCAAGCTGGCCTGGGCTACATATTGAGTTCCAGACTAACCTGAACTACATAGCAAGGTGCTTCCTTAAAAAAAAAAAAGACAAATTTTATAATAATATTTTATATACCATAAAGAAAAATCAGTATTAATGGTGATAAGCTGAAGATAATTTAAAAAAAAAAAAACTCCTTAGAAAGTACTAAATTCATAATAGGTGCTGGTTGTGCTTGACGGTTGGTACACGCAATTGCTCTCACCACGAACGCAGGTGTAAAAGAAGTACCGGAGATACGGTCACAGCAAATGATGCATTCTCAGAATGGCTGAAAGAAAACTGAGAAAGTAACACAACCCTTTACACAGCTTAAGTAATTCAGCATTGTATTTGTGGACCACTGAGATTGCTTCAAATATTCAATCACTGCTGCTCTCAAGCTCCTACCCAGGTGAATTCTGAGCTCACCCACTATACGATAATCACCACACACAGCCCACAGGGACCGCAGTCACACGGAGCACAGACTTCAAAAGGAGAAGCCCTCACCCATCATAGAAATTGTCCCCGCTTCTCCTCACATGAATGACAAGAACTCTGATGAGGGAAACGGTAAGATAGAAACGCGTCCATCACCTAAACCAAGGACCACAAAAAGGAACAATCTCCACATTTGATTCAAAGCCTTATTTTATTAAACAGATGAGGCCAGCTTAGGTACACTGAAAGAGGAATCTTAAGTATTAAGGAGGCTGACACTTGTTTTCTCAAGGTATCAGTGAAAATAATTAATAGCCCCAGGAAGCAGAATATCATTGTGCAAATTCTGAATTTCAATTAGGAATGATAGACACATTCCACACTGATCAAATGATAACATTTAATCACCTTTTTCTAGGCACAGCCACATAATTCTTGTCAGGGGGAAAAAGAATTTAAAAAACAAAACAAAACAGTGTGTTGTACTTACTGGTAATGAACCCAAGATGGTCCCAGAGTTTTCTTGAACTGAGCAAGTCCCACAATATCAATATAAATGAGTTCAACGATTCTGTCTCCTACAGTTGGGCAGCCAGACCGGTTCCCTACAACCTTCTTCATAATTCTGTAGAAAAAGGGCAAAAAAGAAACCACTTACTTGAGGTACTAAACTTGACAAATTTAACAGGCAAATAACCACCCCCCAAATCTCTGAGAGGCACCAGCATGGCTCTTCCAAGTCTACTACCTATGTCAATTCTTCAGACCTGTCAGGTCCAACCTAGACCCCGACTCTGTACTATGAAAAATCAGCACTGTCAATGTGCCATGTGAAATCCAGGAAGACGTGGGTCTGCAGCCATCTGCACTGTCTAGCAGCTGTGAGACCTTCTAGAAGGGACTTAGCCTGAATTTCCCTTTCCGCATTCCCCAGGGGGAAAAATATTGGAATATGAAGATGAGATCCTACCTCTTGTCTGACCTCTCTATTCTCCAAGTGTCTTCAAGTTCTAGGCTTTAAAGGCTCTTACACAGACTTGCCCTGTTCACTAATGTTTTTCTGTTATGTCAACCTTCTGCTTTTAACCAGACTGCATTCCAGAACTGGCACTGTGGACTACACTTTCTCATTAACCTGTCTTTCATCCATGCACTCACCCTTCTACTCGGACACACAAAGCCACTCCTGCACTCAGGAGATGACAGTGGACTTGAGGAGAACGCCAACTCCACAGTTGGGAGGAACACTGAGCACCTTCCATTTACTCACAGTCATCACGCTCCCTCTTAGCACTGTTCACACTCCATCATATTCCTTCATGGCTATGAAAATCCTACTCCGAAAGACCAAAAACACGAACAAGACTCAGCTCTACAGGGCTGTTCCTCTACTGCTTTAGGCATCCTTCTCCTCCTCCTCCTCTGGGCTTCTTACAAGGTTAGGTTCCACAGAACCAATTTCTTCTTTTTTTTTTTTTTTTTTCTGGTGAAACCGGGGATTGAACTCAGACACTTGTGATTGCCAGGGAAGCGCTTATTCTACTGAGCCATCTCCCTGGCCCCCAATTTCTTCTTAAAGGTTGGAAAACTTTCTATAAGGGCTGGAAAATAAACACTTTCATCTCTGCAGGCCATATCACTTTGCCACCATAGGATAAAGGTGGATAAGCAACGCATAACAATAAAGACCGCTTACACCCCTGAAACCTCACGCAAACAGAGATGGGGCTGGATCTGGCCATAGAGCTGACCTCTGGTCCACCTGTGTTCAGTGCTTCTCAAACCTGTTTGCATGCTGCATTTATTTGGAGGCATCATAAAATAGACATGTCTGTGCTCTATATGCTTAACTACTTTGAGAAGGGTCTATAAAGATTTTAAGCAGATCCCCCTAAACCTAAAAAATAAAACAGAAAGATCCCAAGTGATGCTAATTTCATGCATATCTGGGAACCACTGTTCTATGTTGTTCCCCAATTATCTTCCTAAATGAAATACTTCTAGCCCTGATCTTGATGTGCATAAAGACTACTACAGAATTGTCACTGATGACAGGGTAAGTCTCGGCCTGGCAAATTTCTAATCTCTCTTAAAGAGCAAATTTCTAAGCTCTCTTCTGAGCTCCCTAGGCAATTCTTGTCCTTAGTACTTGCATAGCGTTCCATGTGGTCACCTATCCGCTCATTCACTCACTCATCAGTTCAGTATCTGTATGAGCACCTACACTATACTGGGCACTAACTGCTAAGTATACAGTGGTGAATAATATTCAGTTTTCTGAACTCCCAGTATTTATAATCTAGAATCCGCATCTCCATTAGCACTAATAGATTCGTAATTAGTGCAATTATTAATGTATTAGTTGGAATTATCAAATGACTGGCAGCCCCTTAACTGCAAGGTGACCAGTTCTGTGGGTCCCACACCAAAGCCAGTGCACAGGAGGCACTCAGCGAGTGACAGAGGAGCGCACGAATGCATCTTCCTAAGGGTCAAGGGCCCAACATGTTTCAGAGCAAGCAGGAAGAAAGCAATGGGACGCAGACCGCTCAGGAACAAGGGAGAGGATTAAGAGCGGCAAAGAGCTCTACTTTGTCTTTCTCTTAAAGGACCAAGGCAAGAATGGAGACAGACACTGGGTGCAAATCACCATCGTCCCCAAACCCTCAGACAGTACGCTTTGGTTTGAACCTCAGCTTTACTTTTAAAATACGGACAACAGCAGTGCCTACCTTCAGGTGCTAAATAAAGACCAGTAAGTGGTCCACGAAGGTTAGTGGTAAACAGTCATCATCAACATGAGAGTTGAACTTTGCTCTATTGATTATCATGGTCTTAAACCATCCAGCAGAAAAGTATAAAAACAAGGTATGAAAGGTAAAGCCATATTAATATGCTGATCTCTAAAAGGCTCAAGTCAGCAACTTCTGACGTTGCCAGTCCTATGGATAACCCACTACTATTGTGGACTATGGGACAACATTGGGTTATTTTGCTGAATTCATGCACCTACAATATTTAAATGGCAATGGAATACCCATCTCTGACAAAATTAAACAAAAAAGGGGATATAAATAAAGGACCATTCTGTATCTCTATACACAAAATAGTTAGGATAGATATACAGCTACTTTCTCTTAATTCAATGAGAAGAAAGATTTGTACTAAGAGTGTTCGAACAGGATATCATATCTGCATCTTGTACTATGAATAACCACTATCAAGACAACAATATGCAATGTATTAATTATTGAAACTGTCCTACCTTCAGTTTTAATCGGTTTTGAAACTGTCTCACTGTTATTTCTTAACAAAATAAAAAATTAAAAAAAAAACATGAGAGTTGACATAATTGTGCATACTACCATTTGTAACTCTGGGTTGGCAAGACAAATGTGGTGACGGATCGAACCACAGTTCCCTGCATCTTCCTAAGCTACCCTGAGCCTTCCTAAGCCAGCCTAAGGAGGCACTTTAGACCGCTGAGCTATCTCACTGGCCCCAACCATTGTAACTTTTAACATTTGAAAAGAAAGCTAACAAATGACAGTTCATATCCTACCAAACTTATTGCTTTTATCCCAACATACACTGCCTCCAATCAGGGATGGAGCGTGTGGCTAAGCTAAGTGACCTCCCCAGGCAGCACTGCCTTGCCCCATAAAATGGGAACAGGGTGGACCATCTATTTGCTTTAGCCCCCGTCCTATCTCTCAGATCTTCATTCACAGTATTTCTCCTGGAAATACTTAACATTGCCACATGCTATATGGTTGCTGGGTAAGAAGTCTCAAAGGGCAGTTACACAAGAGAGAGATCTAGGTGTCCCTGCTCGGTCAGCTGTGTATGGAAAAGGGCTTTCAAGACAGTTAAGAGGTAGATGCAAATTTCAGAGAAATATAAGAGCAAGGAAGAGTTAACAGAATGAGCTGGGAGTTGGCTAATTGAAAAAGGATTGGATCAGGGCTTTCAGGAAATTTATTTTATCCAAATTAAATTATGCACAGGAACCTGCCCTGTTTTGAGATTTAGAAAGCCTGATGTTGAACAGGGAACAGTATGAATTTCAGTAAAAGATGGGGAATTAGAAAAGTCAATAATGTTTTGTGCTGCAGATGTGGGAAGCACCTGTAATAGCAAAGAATAAGCTCCTTAGTTTGAATTTTCTGGTGTTCATTCATGAAGCCTCGGGAGCCTGCAGCTACAATGAAAACATATTATCCTTTTCACAGTGTATGTATTTAGCTCCTGAAAATAATCTTCTTATCTCCTGTTTAGTGAATTATCACTTTCATTTTCCTCCCCAAGAAATTACAGACTAATAGAGGGCTTTAAGAGTTTACAATTTCTTTTTTGTATCCTGATTTTAAAATTGAAAAGTAATCTCCTTACTCCTTGAGCTCAGCCAGTGAAGCTGAAATCCGAATGTCATGGCCCAGTAAGTACAGAGATGTAATTAAATCACTCCATTGAACTAATTCACCAAGAGGGCCACCACTGAACGCGGTCTCTGCGATCTTGAATCCAGATTCCTTGGTCAGGAGTCCCAGGTGAACGAGGACCTGGAAGGCAGAAAAGGCAGGCATTCATTTGCACTGAATCATGGAAAAGCCCAGGGACACACCGCAGAGCGATCAACCAACTCTACCAGCACGCTTGGGCTGTAATGAAATCTCAATGTGGGGTATGCCGTTGTTCTAAAAGGTACAATGACAGGAAATAACTTTTCATGTTTTAGAGAGAGAAAATCATTACTGTCCTTAGTGTGGCTAAGAATATGATGGATGGATGGGTTATCCTACTTTATAAAAATGGATTACACTTGTACAATCAGAATTAAAGGAAAGTGAGGATACTAGAGTATCTTTAACAATATTTAGCTTTTTTTCCCCATAGCAGAAATATTTTAATCTTTTCCTGTGAAAAATTCCCAACACAGAAAAAAAATCAGGTAGGACAAGACAGTCAGCCCCAACAGGCTGACCGCGTAACTCCAGCAACTATTCATTCATGACAAGCCTTATGTAATCTATATTTTCTTTCTTCTTGACCCCCTAGAGTACTTTGAAGTAAAGGTTAGAGGTCTTATCTGCCCATCTGTAAATATTCCAAAATGCAACTGTAAACAAAATAAACCTTCACTTAAAAAAAACCAAAAACCATGGCCCCATCACTGTCACCTCTAAAAAACCTATTAATTCTCTAATGTCATCAAGAATACAATTAATGTTTCTACTTCTTTAGCTCACCATGCCCCTCTAAGGGCAGTTTTGTGAGTCAGAAGTTAAAGTGTACACACTGTAACTGTCTCATTTATTGCTTAGCCACCTCTAATCTCCATAATTCCCTATTACTTTTTCTTTGAGGGGGTTGTTGATCATTTACTTGTTGAAGACACTGGGTCATATTTGCAACAGTCTCCTATACTCTGATTTTGCTCATGGGCAAACCCAAGGTGTTGCAAAAACAGATCATTCTGTCTTTCATATTGGTGGTACATTAGTCATTAAAGCTTAAGGTATGATCAAATTCGCATTCAATTTTTTATTTTGTAAATGCTGCTGTGAATTTTCACTAGAGATAAAGCTAGCAAGGTGTCCTTGTTTTGGAAGACTATAATCAGCCAAGTACAATCAGTTAAGTGAACTCGCCAGCCTTTTGGAGGCTGCAAAGCACTGATGTTCTATCACTCCCGTTCATCTATTAGCTAAAAATACATCTGTAAAGACGTACTTCTCTATTTGGTCCAGTTGAGGTCAGGCTACAAAGAATAAACCTAGGAAATGCCTGAGTTTTTCAATGTATTTTCCGCTTTTCAGGATAACATTTTTTTTTTAATTTTATTTTTTTTTTTTCTCCTGAGACAGGTTCTTACTATGTAGTTCAGGCTGGCCTTGAACTCACTATGTAGCCCAAGATGGCCCTGAACTCACAATGATCTTTCTACCTCAGCCCTTAGCATGGCTTACTTTCCTTTATTTCTGATTTTAGCAGTATACCCTGTTTTAAAAAAGCAAAATAATCTGACTGATGGGATTACTGATGTGCACCACCACACCTGATAACAAGACTTTTCAAAGCATATTCTAATCATGATTTAGGTTCTGCTTAGTTTTTAAGCATCACAAAGCTATGCACATAAGCACGATGGGTTTCAATAGACTGCAGTGCTGGGCTACCTCAACCATGCGAGGCTACCGAAGCCAGCTCCTCGGTTCTGTGGGCATACCCCAGCAGCCTTTCGCAGCTTCTGTACCCTCAGGTAAGACGAGATGCTCTGTGTTCAATGACTACCTCCTTAATATGCCATTTTTCCCAAGAATCTCTTACACCACATAATGGAAATAGCATTTAGAGATCAAAGTCTAGGGCTTAAGGGACCCCTGTTAATCACTTCTGGAAAACCTTTTCAGTGGCACTAGCTAGTAAATGGATTTTCCCTCTAAGACACCGTAAGTTATGAGTTCTCACCAGCACTTCAAATTCAAACTTGGGACTATAATATTTTTACATAACAATATTTATCTTACATCTGTTATTTTTTGTCTCCCACAGTGAAAATCCTACTTCTCAAAGACACTAACATAATTACTCATTCGTGGTTATACAATTATTCACAATGAATTCAGAATGAGAACACTGACACTCCCACATACAACTTGATTTGTTAAAATTGTTTTAAAATATTTTTTCAAGGGCTGGGGACTTAGCTCAATGGCACAGTGCCTGCCTGGCAAGCAGGAGGTTGTGAGCTCGATTCTTGGTACTGATAAAAATAAAATAAAATAAATATTTTTGTGCTCTTTTTGCTCTCTGTGATGTCCCATTAGAAATGTCCAATTTAAGGCCCAGCCAAATAATTGAGCAGACTAAAGTGCCTGCTTAGGCAGACGCAGGGACTGAGATTCAGTCCCCGGCATGCAGTGGTGGCCCTGTCCCAGGGGTGAGCTGTAATCCTAACCCCTGGGACATGATTGAGACTGGGCCACATGCCTGTAATCCCAGCTGTTTGGGAGGCTGAAAACAGAAGGATCGCTACGAGTCGGATCTGTGTGGTGAGACCTTGCAGACCCTGTACTAAATACATAAAAAAGTCCAATTTATTGGATGTTCAACTTTTTGTTCTTATTTTCCTTATGACTTTTATTGTAATTAAATGTTCACCCTTAATGTAATGTGGTTCCAGCATCAAATCTACAAAGGGAGATATGTTCAGAGAGGTTTAGTTTCTCTGCAGTATTCCCTCCTTTTCCCTTATTTTTTTTGTGCTAAAATATACATAATATAAAATTTACTGTTTTAACAAATGCAGTTTCACATTTATATCACCACCATCCATCTCCTTTATTTATATGTTTTCTTTGGCTTTATCCTTCAATTTGTAAAAATGTGAATAAGACAAACATACGTATCTGTGTAGATGTACAGACCTGCAGTATGCACGCATACTTTAAAAAGTCCCTCTTCCTTTTAAAAATAATGTATGCTAGTCTCACTTAATTTTTTTTTACCAGACAACATTCTGTAGACAACTCCTTAAAACTATGGAAAAACATTCCTTCTGTTATGGTTTGCATCTGGATGTCCCCCTAAAGCTCCATGCAGTCATGGGCGGGCTTTTAGAGTGTGTGGTTGACTCAAGGTCCAACGCTGGGATTATGGGTGGGCTACGCCTACCCTGGCCCCGGCAGTCGGCATACAATATAAGGGAAGGAAACAGGCTTGCTCCCTCCTGCTCCTCCCTTTTGCACTTGCTGCTTTTGCCGTCTTCTGCTGCCATGCGCCATCCTGCCTTAGTGCCAGCCGTAAGTGTGGACTGTGAGCTTACACAAGCCTTTCCCTCTTTCCTTTGGGCGCTGGGTATTTTGTCCAGCAACAGAGAAAAGTAATCAAGACACTTCCTTTTTAAACTGTGCTTGCAGACTCCCATCACGTGCTCCTCACATACTATTTAGTGCCAACCTGTCTCGTTATGGTGTCTCAAAGTTAAGGGATCTAAACAAAACTGACTCATTAAACTATGACTTGGGGGTCTTATAAAATGCATTCATGGTTTCCTTCTCAAAGATAGCAAATGAGTCAGATTTACTCTGAAGCTCTTTTTAGATACAGCAACAACTGGTTTACTTTGCCCAGTTTTGAAATCAGAACAGTTAATTTATAGTCCTGTCCCTTAATCTACAACTAACAGGGCAGAAGATCGTCTAAGCCAGGGGCATGCCAAAGGATTTCTAAGCATGTCCCATGAACTTGAACAACCTGGCTTAAGTGTAATAAGACCTCCTTCCTAGATATAGAAGCAAAAGCACCAATCAGATAGAGCAGCAATGAAACTCACAGGTGGCCCAGACCCCAGAGCACAAACCACCACCACATGAGATTGTCATGATTCAGTATAACAGGAAGTTCTCAGAAGTTGGATTCAGGTAAAGAAATGGAGAAAGTTTTCTAATATCAACAGACAGACAGAGACTGACAGACAGACAGAGAGACAGCGAGACAGACAGACAGACAGACAGAGACAGACAGATAGATAGTCCAGTCAGTCTAGTCAGTCCAGTCCAGTCAGTCAGTCAGTCAGTCAGTCAGTCAGTCAGTCAGTCAGTCAGTCGAAAGGAAAACTTGACTGGGAGATCCTCAGTTTAACTTTATTGAGAACTCTGTGCTGATCTCTGCTCATAAAAGCCAAGAAAAGGGTTATACAAGAGGCTGGGCTGATTCACCCTGAGGGAATATCATTTCAGACATGACATTTCTCTTACTCTTGTCTCCAAGCAAAATCAAATTTTAAAAGAAAACTGGCATCTAACTGAAATGGATTAAGAAGAAAACTCACTTTCTTTCGCTTTCTCTTTTCAAGATTTTGCTTTTCTGCCAGGGACTTGATTGCCTGGATCCAAGCATCAGCCATTCGTCGGATCCGCAGCCTCATCCATCGGAATTCTTCATGCTTTTTCATCATATTGTAGAGAATATTAAAATCCGTACGAATTTCTGCCTAGAAACAGAAATTTAATAAAATGTATAGAAGATAAAAGCCAACAAGCCCAATGGCTTTCATGATGTGACATTTGAAAACCTGAAAGCGATAGTCAATTAAATACAGGGCTTCAAAAATGAATCTGGCCATGCTGCCCAGCTCTTATTAGTAGGTCCCAGGACTGCAAATTAAAGCAAAGGTCCCCGAGTGCTGATCTGTTATAAGGGATATCATTAAAAAATTAGAAACTGAGAAAGGCAGTGTAGTCACTGTGGAGCCCTGATCTATAGCATGTTTGCTGAACCTTGAAATTCTCTGCTCTGAAATGTATTGTTACCAGGATCGATCGCTAGGTAGCAGACCCCCAGGAAAACTGAAGCCAGACCTAAATATGTTGTCCAACATCATGCTGGTTGCCAATGAACCTCTTTCTGTACACAGAATTAAATAGGGAAATAAACGATCATCTTCTAGTTTTGTCCTAGTCCAAACCAACAAAAATTTACTATTTTTAAGGTGTTTAAAAACAAAGGATACTCTCGCCCTATGACAGCTCAATGCTATTTAAAATTCTGACCAGTATGATTTAAAATCCAATAAATATTTTTTCTAACATGCTACACAGTATAGCTGGGTACAACCCACAACTAGAGCCAGAGACATAGTACTACTATTTATTTCACAGAACACTTCGAACACAGTGAATCTATCTTTTAGGTGTGGTTCTTGGTGGGTCAGCAAACTAGGACTCACGCAACCAAGTCCTTTCATTTACATAGTATCTATGGGTACTGTGTGCTGCAATGGCAGAACTGAGGAGTTACAACAGAGATCTCACAGCCTGCAAAGATATCTCCTCCCTAGCTTTCCAAAGAAAAAAGTTTGTTGATCCCTGGTCTAAAGAACAAAAGCTTCAGTTTTACTCATGGCATACACAGCTGATCACAGTCCCCTTTCCACCTTTCCAACCTCAGCTTCATCTCAGCGCATCCAGTCCTCCCGTCCTTGTCCCCAAGGTATGCTCTATAATACCAAATGTTCCCTTTCATGTTTATCAGAGGTATCTTCTCTGCTTGACCTCTCACAAACTCATTCATCATTTTAAATTCAGCCTGAATGTCATCTTCTCTCTGTAATCTACCCTGACCTTTGCAGGCTTCCTCATTACTGCTGTCAGCCTACTTTAAAGCACTGTGACAGGCACAGTCATTAGTTACAACCACCCTCCTCATTAGATCACCCATCGCCTCCACACTTGGCACCAGGTCTCATTCCTATCAGTCACCCATCCTTTAGGGACCTCAAGGAATTGCTCAATAAATAAATCTATGATTGACTGATCTGGTCACCTCGATTTTTACAGCACTGTAGAAGTTCTTCAGCTGAACACTATTTTTAAATTATGGCTTCAAATCTAAAAAGACTCCACATGCATCGCTTAACAGCTGACCTAAATGCACAAATTTAGGAAGAGTTTTCCCAAATCATTTACCAATGAATTATGATCAGCTTCTTCATAGGGATTTTTTGCTCTCCAAGGTAAATGAGGACACCAATTTTCAACCTGAAAAACATAAATCAGTGACACGAAGTATTATGGTTTATCTTCAAATGGATTAACATATGTACAATGTGCTGAGAACTGTTCCTGGCACTCAGCAGCAGTATTCATGCGGGGGATTATTAGCCAAATTCTCCTGACTTTAGAGAGTGATGCAGGTGCCCTCCCAGGTGGGGAACAACAGGCGCACCTGGGGAGACACACTTTATACCAGAGAAACACGGGCAGAAAGTTGAAAGACTTGAACATGGCCACAGGGAGTGAGGATGTGACAGTGCCTGGATGACCATGAAGCAAATGGACCGGCATGATCTGCCACCTGTGGCCACCTGCCTGGAAAGCACACAGGGCAGCATCTGAACTACAGAACCAAATGTCTTTATCTGAGAATCAGCAATGCAATCTATAGCTTAAGGCCAACTGGTCAAGACTTTCACTTATCTGCTGACTGCTGGCTTGATGCTGGTTCAAGAAATATGGTGGAAAACCTATAGGAGGAAGAGATGAAGGGAGAAACAGAAGCAGGATCGTTCTGTCAATGCATGAAGTTTTTTTTTTTTTTTTTTTTTTTTTTTTTTTTAAGAAAGTTGTGGGGAGGGAAGGAAGAGAAGCAAAGAAAGCACCAGGAATAAAGCACCCGGATTTCACAGGAATGACTTCACAGCCCGTCACACCAAAGAAAATTGGGCAAATTAATTTCTAGTAAACAAAAAAATGAGAAATGTATAGAGCATTACTGATGCCTGGCATGTCTAAAATAGTTATAAGGCTACAAGATAACATTATTATCCATTTACTAAAATATAATAACTTTAAAAATACTTTTTTCATATCTGTTAGATTCTTTAAAATGTAGGAGTGGGGTGCTCCTTGGAGACGGGAGGATTATTTGGGGTGGCCCACTCAGGGCTCAGCAGAGCAGACTTGCGCAAAACACTTTGCCCTCTAGAAATGGGTGAGCTTTCAAAGAAACATGTCAATTTCACTAATCTAGAAATTATTCATAATGCAAGGTGTTTTTCCCTCTGCCTAAATATAATTGGCTCTATTTGCATAAAGCCATCTGCCACTGCAAATGAAAGCAGCACGCCAAGGGCAGCCAGGCTTAGGGCGGGGCAGAATCCCAGGGTACCAAAGTGCAATATTCTCTTTTCTTCTTAGGTAGTAAAATTAGAGTTTATAATATTTGTGAATGACTTCAGAGACTCAAAAAATTCCCTACAAGAAGAGCTGAAATTGCTTTTACTCATTATTAAAAAAAACAAAAACAAAAACAAAAAAAAAACACTCACTTTCTTTGGAGGCCTATGGTCTAATTATTGGGGCTTTCTGCAGTATGCACATGAAAAGCAAAATGTGGAGCTCCACAAAGAAGAAAAATGAAGGAAAGAAAGGAAGCCTGTGAGGGACGAAGCCTGAGACCGCTGCAGCAGCAGTCCGTGCATCTGCACCTCATATTTTAGACAGGATTGAATTATTTATTTCCAACTAAATTTCAGTAAATGAACATCTTTGTAAAAAGGATATTTATAAAATGAAGGTTTCAAATGGATGACTTGATTGTGAGCCCTTCAACCATAGCCCCCCACGTACAAGCATGAACGTGCAAGCGCGTGCGCGCGTGCGCACACACACACACACACACACACACAGTACAGATTTGAAATAAGCCTCACAATGAAACAAACAAGTTTATAAAGCAATCAGGATTTTAAAAATCTCTCCATGAAGAGCATGACTGGGAAAGATGAAACAAGGTTATGAATAAAGATCATCAATTACAAGGAGACACATGAGTTGGACCAGATATTGACAAAGGATAGTACATCCCCTTCTCATTTCTCTACCCTGAGAACAATCTTTCAAGATTTTAATCTGATGAAAATACAGTTCAAGGTGATCTAAAATATGACGTCCCTACAACATCCTCAAGACTATAATTTTTCGCTGAAGCTGGTCATTTATCTTAGTCCTTTTTACTCTAAATCACTCGCTGTTACTCTGCAAGGCTCCAAGAGCGTCCCTCACAAATATGGAAAATAGCATTCGTCCAATTGAGCTTTTAGTGAGAAATTTCAGTGAAAAAACACTCACTCAGAATGGTGGAAAATCTGATTGTGAAGGAGAGGGTAGGTTTTTAGCATTGTTTCCGCACACACAGACAGGATAACTGGCTAATGAAATAATTAAATTATATGTAAAACCAATTACCCCATAGAGAGAAGGGGAAAAACAAAGTGTTTCTTTTTGAAACTTCAGAGGATTACCAGGATTGGAAGAATGCCAGCACTGGCAATAACTCCAAGTCCTGAAACAAACAGCCCTCCCATGAGCAACATTTTCCTAAATAAAAGTCACATTAATAACATTCAGGGAAAACCTTGCTCATGGCCTGCTGCACAACCTCCTGATAGCCTAGCTCTGTCTTCCAGCTGATCTGAATACAACTTAGCCTATCAGGAGAAGGTCCTCCCAATAAAGCAAGACCCTAGGAGACAACCCTCACCTGGCTGGCCTGGAGGTGGCCCTCACAGTTAAATGCCATTCTCAATAGCTTGTCTCCTGGTGCATAATTCATGTCCTATGTTTGCTGTGGCCACCTTCCTCCACCCATGCTTCAGCCATACTTTTTGTCCTCAGTGCAGAGATATCCTGCCATCACCGCCCTCAAATCTCTCCCCCTTCTGGAACCAACTCTCAGAGCCTAGGCAACCCCTCCTCAGGGCCTATGCCTGCGAAGCAACTGGACATCTTTAACAGTAGCCTGTAATTCCCTGCAGTAAGTTGCAAAATTGAAAACTGTCTGAATTTATGGTAACATGCACACAACAGTTGATAGAGGAGCAGAAGCATTACTCTAATAACCTTCAATTTGAGGCAAAACTCCTTGGACATGAACTGATCTTTTTAGTGCACTGGCCTCAGGCCACAGAATGAAGAGGCAGCGGAGACAGAGACCAGCCAGCCTAGCATTCTGGAACATTAATGCATATTCCGCAGAGAGGGCCCTATAAATCACTTTCCTTGAGCGAGGAGATATAAAATAAAACAATTTGATTTTTGACATTTCTCCTCCTGGTGATTTAACCTCCTTTGAACTAACAAGGTTTTGCGGCTTAATCATGAGGACTGAGAATCATCAAAGCATTCTCCAAGTCCCTAAAACTTCTAACTAGGTCAGGCTTATTTTCAAGGTCTGTAGGATGAACACTTCATTATGCTCAGGTAACAAAAAAAAAAAAAAAAGAAGAAAAGAAACACCCCAAACCCTGCAGTTAGATACAGATAGAGCGATAGAGCCTCAGCTGGAGTTTTAAGGAGGAACTAATAAAATTGCCACAAAAACTGAAGGAAGACTCAAGGTCTGAGATCTATGCACTTAAGTATATACTACTGTATAACTGCAGAAATATTTTCTGTTGAAAGATGTATGTTATAGGCTCTACTTTCACTACTAATGTGAGTTTTGCTCAAGTGAATCACTGATAAAAGATTTCATGTGTTACTTCTTAGATGGTAAGTATAATCAAAACTAAATGGGAAAATACACAGAAAAATACTCAGATTTATCTCTGGATAATAGTGAAACATGAATGAATAAAATTAAATGGGATATATTGCATAAACATACAAGTGTTTACTTTAGGCTTAGCATGCATCAGGTTCCCTACAGAACACCACAAAAATGTGCACATTTCAATCACTTAATCCTTGAAGTGTCTGTGTTGTGAGTACTATCATTACACAAAAACTCGAGGGTTACTGACAATTTGCTGAGGAAATCCGTTAGGGAGTAGCAGGGCCAGGTGATGTGTGGACTCTGTTGTTTCCCTGACCAAGACTGAGGAGGCCTCTTTGAGATCAAGCTCAATGAGGGACCAGAGAGCTGCTGGAAGAAGAGGACTGAACCTGGGACCGAACAACATGTGTGCACCCAACTCTGCAAACAACCAGACACGTCACTATGTACTATGAGGCTTTCAAGATTCCTTGTCTACAGAAAGAAGAATTTGGATAAGGTGATACACTTTATTCTGTTATCCTGTTAAAAACAGAATTTTGGGTCATCCTGTCTGGAGGGCCACCTGAGCAGCTCTCCTTGAAAGAAGAGCAACCATTTCTATTTTGCCTGAGTCTGACCCTATTTTGTTGTATTGATATGTACAGAGCTGGTTAGGACTTTTCCTTTTCCCTTCAATTGGCTTTAAGCAATGTGTATTGGTCTAGCTGACGAGTTGATGGTAGTCTTTGAGGATGGCATGTGTGTTTCCCTGATAACCCTTTAATACACGCTGGATTGAGATAAGACAAAGAGCCAGTGCTCCACACTGTCACCTGGGATTGAGCCTCAAAATAGAGGCTACGAGTTTCTGGGGCTTGAAAGATTACACATCAGAGTTGAAGCACCGGACCCCAACACATTAGATACTATCTCAGTTGTGTAATGCAGATTACTGTCTGCATACTGCAGAGGTAAAAACAGGCCTCCTACGTAGTCCAGCTCACAGTGCTCACTTACTTCCTGCCATTCTCATTCATCCTCAAGCTATTCCTCTTTCATGACTGAATAAAACCTGGGTTCAGCCCTGGATCTAAGCCTTTGTTCTGGATAGCCTTCTTTGTGGCTAGACTTAGCACCCCTTGGGTCCCCATAATTATAAATATGCTATAATGTCTTTATTCTTGCTGCGGTTTGCACTGGAAGTGGTAGACTGGAATGAACTTGATGGGATTTCAGTAATTTATCCTTGGGATTACAATATAATCTTCCTGGATGGAGACGAGGACCAGGAAAGGCTCTCTACAGTCCTGTTCGCTAGTTGTCAAATGAATACAACTGTGTGTGGCAATTCATTTGCACACATGTAAATATACACTTGTTATACTTGTCTAATGTAGTTACTTATTAATGAACATGCTAAAAATGTATAAAAGGGACTCTCTCTACCACACACTGAAGTCTGTGCACTCCATACTCTAAAGCTTCAGGGAGTAGCCCAGTC